GTTCTTTATCCACCGAGTGGTCCATCCATCAAATTGATGTTGCTAAATGACTTCTCCTTGGGTTAAATTCATATTTGTGTTCTTTGATCAGGAATTTTCTTCCTAGTATCTGCATGGTGTCCCCAGTATTGAAGACAGTATGTATGAGTATGAATTGTGCTCGAGTATGATGTATGCTGTAGCACTGTGTAAACCTGAAAGAATAAGCCACTCCGAACAGTACATGACAGTATCAGAAATCACTTTAATAAGTGATCAACCACAGAAGCAACATGATGTTTGAAAAAGAAGCTAATTACAGATTACATGCTTTATGTGATTCAGAATTCATCACAAGTTCAATACACTTGTACATGTACATTAACATATACACTGAAAAATATTAAACAGTATCTTTTCTTTTTGGGGGGTTGTTTTGTTTTGTTTTGTTTTGTTTTTTTGATTAAGCTTTTATTGCCATGAAGAAAAATAGGAATTATCTTGTTACAATTTTAGGCCTTGCTGCTGTAGAGATTTACAGCACTGAATAGAACTGCTTTATACAAGGGGTATTCCTCAGAGATTCAACTGAACATCGTACTTAGTTGACGTCATAGAATCACAGAATCCTAAGGGTTGGAAGGGACGTCAAAAGATCATCTAGTCCAACCCTCCTGCAAGAGCAGGGTAACCTAGAGTACATCACACAGGAACTTATCCAGGTGGGCCTTGAATATCTCCAATGTAGGAGACTCCACAACCCCCCTGGGCAACCTGTTCCAGTGATCTGTCACTCTCACAGTAAAGAAATTTTTCCTGATGTTCACATGGAACCTCCTATGCTCCAGTTTACACCCATTGCCCCTTGTCCTATCACTGGGCATCACTGAAAAAAACCCAGCTCCATCATCCTGACACTCACCCTTTACATATTTGTAAACATTGATGAGGTCACCCCTCAGTCTCCTCTTCTCCAAGCTAAAGAGACCCAGCTCCCTCAGCCTCTCCTCATAAGAGAGATGTTCCATTCACTTAATCATCTTTGTGGCTCTGCACTGGACTCTTTCAAGCAGTTCCCTGTCCTTCTTGAACTGCGGGGCCCAGAACTGGACACAATATTCCAGATGCGGCCTCACCAAGGCAGAGTAGAGGGGGAGGAGAACCTCTCTTGACCTACTAACCACACCCTTTCTAATGCACCCTAGGATGCCATTGGCCTTCTTGGCCACAAGGGCACATTGCTGGCTCATGGTCATCCTCCTATCCACCAGGACCCCCAGGTCCCTTTCCCCTTCACTACTGTCCAGCAGGTCAGCCCCCGACCTGTACTGGTACATGGGGTTGTTCTTCCCCACATGCAAGACTCTACACTTGCCCTTGTTGAATTTCATCAAGTTCCTCTCCACCCAACTCTCCAGCCTGTCCAGGTCTCGCTGAATGGCAACACAGCCCTCTGGTGTGTCAGCCACTCCTCCCAGTTTAGTATCATCAGTAAACTTGCTGAGGGTACATTCAGTTCCCTCATCCAGGTCGTTGATGAAAACACTAAACAGCACTGGTCCCAGCACCAACCCCTGAGGGACTCCACTAGTCACAGACCTCCAGCTAGAAATGCAGTAGTCTTTGCAGAAATGAAGCCTAAATCTTTTATTATATTTAGATACAGAGGTGTATGAATTACAAATTATTTTCAACACTAATTATGAGAACAGTGCACATATGCAGTGCAACCATATTATTCTTATGTCTAAGACACAGCATCTTAAATAGACAAGTCCAGAAAAGAACAAGAAATGAAGTTGTGGCTTGAGGAGATGATTTGTTCAAGGTCAGTGCAGCAGGTCAGCAGAAGACCCTAAACTAGGATTTAGGAGATGCACATTTAATGTTCCTTCTTGTCCAGGAAGCCACTCATTCCTACCAATCAGATTTGAAATTTAGGCAGCAGTAAGACAAGAGAGAAACACGTTATGTGAAGAAGGTGAGAGATATGTTTTTCATGCTTGTATGATGACCAAAAGTATTTAGGTGTTAATATTCCTCCAGTTGGTAGAGTATTTAATCAGCTGATAATGTTGCTCTGATAATGTTGCTCCTGCTTACATTATATGAAGATATATTTAGCGATTTTTTACTTTCAGTTCTAGAAGAGATAGAGGATATTTTTCTCAATGTCAGCCTTTACCTGTCACTTTTTTTTGGGGTTTTTTGCTTGCTTGGTTGGTTGGTGTTTTTTTGTTTGTTTTTTTTTCTTTTGTTTGTTTTTTTTTTGTTGTTTAATAAGGCCACAGGAAAACATGGTCTGATGTATTATGTGTATGAATCACGGTGAAATAGGCTGATTTAAAAGGTGATTTTTATTTGACAGCAAAGAAGTATCAGATCTTTCCCTTTTACTGTAGTGGTTTTTATGTTTGTCTAATATTTCTAATTAGATGTAGCTAAGCATTATGATACACTATCTTCAGGGTCAGATTCAGACAAGTATCTCATATATCACTAAAGAAAACTTAAAGAAAACTTAAAGAAAAAATTAACAAAACTTAATTATTCTTTGTCTTTTAGACAAACTGTAGAAATAGTTTTCTGCCTCTGTCACTTGTAACCATAATGAATTCCTTCTGTACATTTAAGTGACCTTTTCCTGCTGTTATTTATTTGAAATAAAGAGGTGTCCAAATGTCTTATTCAGGACTGGGTCCTGTTCTATTAGGTTACTGTGCAAAGGTGTAGTCTGAAAAGTTTATACAGTGCATACAATAAAATAAAGAAGTGCTTTAGTGACTGAGGTAAGCTGCTTACCACAGCAGTTCACAGGACTCATTGCTGAGGATTAACCCTAAATATTTCTGTGCACTTTATATTCTTTTCATTTTGCATTGCCTCGTTTAAATGCAATATGTATGAAGTCATATTCCAGATCTTTCACTAGAAAAATAACTTTGTTATTTGGTCTGTGATAGCTGTAAATGAATATGTCATGGAGTCTCTACAGATAACTAGCAGAGAAGCAGATATCATAAGCTTAATTGCAGCTTATTCTGCTTTGAATCTCCTCACCAGCCCATTTTTTCCCTGAAACCACACAAACAATAAAGCTGATGCTAAGAAATTGGCAGAGCATGCAGACAAGTGGAAGAGCTGTTCTCTGCAGCAGCAGCAGTGTTACTTCAGTAACTCGACCATGAAACTGCACAACTTTTACTTCTGTGAAAAAAATTCCTGGGTTTATCCTTCAGTCTATCTGCCTGTTTCTTAGAAATGCCTGAAACCTACCGTGTGAGCCTTCCTCTGTCTAATGTAGTAGGCGAAGAGGTACATGGCTGCTTTAGTGGCCCTTTCTCTCTGGAATCTGAAAGTGAGGTTAAAAAAAGCCTTGAGTCTGTCTGTTGTGCTTGTATCAAACTGATCGATTTTCCTTAGCATTTTAGTCCTATATATTCAAAACCTAAGTGTGGTGGTGTGTTTTCTTTCAGAGTTAGTTGCTACATTTACTCAAGAACACACAAGGAGCCTGTCTTCTGTCCTAATCAATTTGTGTCAGTAAAACAGAGTGGGGTTGGTTTAAGATGCATTTCATATACAGAAATGTTCCTATTAGATAGTCAACAGTAAATGTATGGAAACAACATTTTCCTATCATTCTTGTTGTGTAGCACAAACAGTCTTTTGTTGCCACAGGAAAATTTTGGAATCTTTGTTTTTCTTGTATATTGTACATGGCAAGTTTAGTTTACTAACCAAGAGCTGCCATTTTCTAACACCAGGTAAAATTTTCTAATGCTAGGATTACTGAAAAGGACAGAAAAGTAATAGGTATTTCTTTTCTATTTCTCCACTTGTGTTCACACTTGACAGCACTCCATACATAGTTCAACTAGTCTTTTCCCTCTGGGTAGCTGATCAATAAGCCAGTTTCCTTGCTGTTTGAGTCTTTTGTTGAACAACAGAGGAAAGGAAAAGCATTTCAGAGGAAAGGAAAACATGCATATAAACTCACAGTATTGACAGGAAGACTCCAAGGCAGAACTACCAAAGCAGAAATTGCAGCTCTGCGGAAGCCACAGACTAGGCATGTGCTGGCTACAAGGCAGAAGCAGTGGTGGTATCTGCCTATTACTCTACCTTGCTATTACAGGTATACTGCATGGTTTAACACATTCTGGAGATGAATCCAAGACCCTCATTGGTTAATAAAGCTGGTGGAATATTTGATGATTTTTAAAAGTAGCTTTAATACAGAGTCCTACCTACTGTCTTTACTTTCTCTGATGTCTTCACTCTGGCGGTACCGCTATGTTTGTCACATTATACACTTTGCCAGTGAAATTGCAGGTAAATGCACATAAAGGAGGAACCATTTCCACATTCTTTATTCTACAGTGGCTGTTACACCTAGTACAACAAAGTTATGCTATCACTTTCAGTCCATCATGACCCACTGCATTAAAAATTCTGTTGGTAATGGTAATAAACATAAACGCCTCCTACTGTTCATAGAACATGAGTCCAAAGAAACGCTTCACAAGGTAATCCAGTTATTCATTTCTCGCAAGACAAATCAATCAATCATCTTCAAATATATGCTTTTCTTAAAAGCCATGGATGACGGGGATTCCACCATCACCCAAGGCAATCCTTTCAATGCTTCACTCTTCCCATAGTCAGTCATTTTTCCACAGAGGGACATGAATCTTGCTTGTGGGACTTCCTAGACCAACTTCACTTCCTTCACCCTGATCTCTACACACAGTCTTTGCATGCGGAGTGCAGGCAGCTTTGCACTGTTGCTGTGAACTGCTCATGGCCTGTGCCCCTGGAAGACAGCAAGGAGGAAGGATGGAGAGATCTTTCGGTAGTCGGAGGGCCTGTTGCAACCCGTTCTGAAACAAGCCGTTTCATATGCTCTGCCCTGACACCACTTTTCATAAAACACTGTCTTCTGAAATAAGTGCATGTGTGGATGTCACTGTTTCTGTTTTCCGCTTATACCGGGTAAAAAGGGCTTGTTTTCGCAGAGGCTTCCCAGCCTTCCCCGCGGGGGGGGGGGGGGGCGGTTCTGTGCCTCCCTCTCTCCTGCTGCCTGCGGCAGGGATCCCCCTCCCCTATCCCCACGCCTTCAATTATTGATGGTGGCGGCGGCCGCCCGCGCCTGCCTCCGCGCCGCGCCGCCCTGCACCCCTCTGCGCTCCCCGTCTCTCCACAGCACTGCCGCAGAGGCTTCACCGCAAAGCGAAGCCCACACCTCCACTTCGGTCCGCCCCTCCTCTGGTCCGTCACGCCTGGCGGCTTCTCCGGGAGGCTCGGCGCTCCCTCCCACAGCAGCTCGCCGAGAGCAGGAGGCAGGCGGGGAGCGGAGGAGCCGGGAACGCCCCGCAGCCCAGTCGCTCCGCAGCTTTCCGCCGCTGCCCCGCCGCTCGGTAAGTGATGCTCCGGGCAATCAGACGGCCGCTGCTGCTCCCCGAGCAACTTTCCCCTTTTTCCTTTCTTTTCTTTTTTTTTTTCTCCTTTTATTTTTTTTCTTTTTTTTTTTTTTTAATTCATTTCCTTTTTTTTTTCCTTCCTAATTTTTTTTTTTCTGGACTTCAACTTTTTCCACGGGACTTTCGGGGGGTTTGTTCGCTGGGGTGCGGGAAGAGCTCTTTGCGGGGCGGGCCGGGCGGTGCAGGAAGCTCGGGGCTCCCTCGCTTCTCGGCTGTGAGCTGGAGGACCAGCCTGTGCTCGGCAGCTACTCACTCCAGCTCTATCAAGAGCTCGGTCGCTCTTCTGCGCAGTTAGACTAGGTTGCACAGATCCGAGCTAGGTCTAATCTCTGCTTTGGAAGCTGACAGGCATATTAACGCTGGCAGAACTTTTGCACACTAGGGGAGCAAAAACCAGGGGTGTTGAGGTTCGCAGACTCCAAATGTTTGAAGAAAACATGCTTACAGATGTCCTAGCGATAAGGATGGCAAAGAGAATCAAAGATGCAAGAAGGGTGTCAAGACTCCAGCTCTTTAGGGAACCGACACTTTCTAAGATGTGTTTAGAAGAGAAACGGTAGGGTTTTGGACCCTGCAACAGAAAAACAAACAAAAAACCCCACCAACCCAACTCTCTCTCCCCCCCCCCCCCCCCCCAGAAAAAAAACCAACAAAAAAAACCCCACCAAAAATACAAACAAAAAAAAAAACCAAACCAAACAAAAACCACAAAACAAACAAAAAACCCACCAAAACCCCAAACAATTTAGGTGTTTTGGGAAACTGTTGCTTTTCTCACTCTAGGTTGCTTCAAGGACTGTAACTCATACTGACTATGTTGGGAGAATGGTTTAGCATTTGTGACCCACAGAGGGGAGGGTGGACTGTCTTGCAGCTTTAGGAAAGGACTTTGCCAAAACACCAAGTTACTGCTTTCTTAGTGCTTAGGGATTTAGATTCTGAGATGCTTCTGGCAGTATATGGGCAGGGAAGCACAGAGAAGTCACAGTCCTAGTCCTAGGGTTAGGAAGAGCCATGGGATGGTGACGTTTTGGGGGGCGACTCCATCCAATTTTGAGAGGATAGCAAGACAGAAGGGATGCAAAAAGGCCAAAGAGCGGGTCTGGCAGTCCTGAGTGGAGGCAGGACACCCCAGGGACCTGAGGGCCGATTGAAATGGGGGTAACGGAGCATGGAGGTCGCTGACAAGTCTTGGGAGCCTAATCCTGCCAAGCAGTGGGCGCAGTGCGAGTAGGGGGCGAGAGTGGGAGCTGAGTCATGGGGCAGCCATGGCACATCTGTACGGAAATGGGGAGGCTGAGGTGAGAAGGAAAAGATTAGAAAGACGCATATAAAGATAGGCAGGGAGGAGGCAGATCATCTCTTCAAAAGAAGCCAAGATCACCGTGAGACTCCTCTGTGACTGATAGTACCCTGCTCTCCTTACAGGGTTAGGAGGCTGATGAGTGTAACTCTGGTGGAGGGGGTGGCAGATTGCAGTGGTTAGTACAACACAAGGGAAACCTACTCAGCCAAACACAACTGGTAACTGCTGATACTTGGGCTGCATTGCGCTGCAGTGCAGGGAGCTCACAGCAACTTCTGCCTTAGAAGGGAGAGGGAGATGCTGAATTGATCTGTAGAGGTTGCACAAACTGCCAAAATTACTGCTTTGTGGGGGAATTGCAGATAGAACTGGAAGCAGAGATGTAAGGAGATTTTGGAAGGAACTTCCTGATGAATCACAATTAACCACAAAATATCTGGGGGGAAGAGGGGAGAAGAAAGGGGCAGGAGGGAAGAAAAAAAGAAGACCCCCCCTCCCCCCCCCCAACAAAACTAGCAACACCCAAAGCAAATGAAGTTCTTCGATCAGAAAAATTGTAAATGGTATACTGCTGTTGCTTTCCTCTGAGTTCTGTATGGGAAAGAGCCCTGTTTTAACTATGCCATATGTCCTCCTGAATTACTGAAGTTTTACAATGATCTTCTTTGTCTTATTGTTTGTTCTCTGACTGATGTCCCTGTGGGAATGAAAACTACTATTGCACTATTTTGTGCAATATTCATAATTTTCCCTGTAATTGTGCATTTATTCAGCATTTTCATAGAGAACAAGGCACCATGGTAAAGCCAAGACTCCTTTTCTTCCCTTCCCTCTCACCTGGCCATTTATGGAATGACAACATCCCATAAATGTTAACATTAAATCTTATGGATTTGGTCCTTTTTAACAAAAATAAATATTTTTCTCTAATGTGGGAGTGCGAAGCTTTTCTGTATTCCAGAGAAATACAAAATACACTAAAATACAGTCACAGTAAGTTCCAAATAGTCTTTCATTTATATTTGCAGAAAAGCTTTGCATAGGCAAATAGTAACAAAAAGACTGTCAATTAAAATTATTGACACATATTGAGCCTCCAAACATCTTCAAATGATACTTGGAGAAAAAGAGGAAGAAACTGTTTAATGTCTGTGTTTCTGAAGCTGTATTCCTACTGCTTATTCAATAAAGATGACCCTTAATACCAGTGGTGAAGACTAGACATAGACTTTCCCTGACGGCAACTTGATGTAAAATGTCATTGCATTCTGGAAAAATAGATTTGTATTTGGCCAAATGATATCAAGCCAATTTTTTTCTGAGTATTTGTTTGCTAGATCTAATTATTTTTTAATAATAGCAAAGCAAAGATGTTTGTTAGGTTTTTTCTCAGTTGTCAGCAGCACGCGAGAAAGATGTTTGCAACAAAGGAAAATCGCATGAAGCGATCAATTATGTTTGCAAACCATGATGTTACTTCAGGTGACAATATGAAACATATAATCAATTTTGTAAGTACCTGAGTATATAAGCTTTTATAAGTTGTTTGCAGTAATGGTGGATGTCAATTTTTTTTTTTAATGGTGTGTTCCAGAGCACAGAGGACAAATGTTTATTCAAAGTGGTCCTGATCATCCCATTAAAATTGGTGTGAAATCTATTGTAGATTTTGGTGTGAAGCACAATGAATTCAGCTATATAGTTAGCTAGTAGTTTTGTGTGAAAATACTAATGTTTCATTCTCAGTCATATAAAAGTTGTTTCAGCATCACAGGCAGATCACTTGGATTGTATGTTGCTGTGAATCTTTGCAACCCATATGCATCACAGGATGCATATCAATGGTTGTTTAAACAAAAGCTCATCAATTAGATTAAATGTGTTTGCAAACCTACGATAGGGAAAGCACAGCTGCTGCCACCGCCTTTGTATTATGTAGTGCATAACATTTTCCTATTGAAACAGAATAGAGTCCTTTTAAAAATTATTCAGATGACTGGATTTAGAGCTTGTCTTCTTTTAAGTGTTTGTAAGCACTAGAATGGAAAAATTAGTTGAAAGTATGCTCAAAGTATTTACACCAGGAAGAAAAAGGCAGTTAAATTTTTCTTTTAAATTAGCTGTTTCAGTTTTTAATTAAATGTGATATATTCTCTAATAACTATGCTACAAAACGTGGTGGACCTTTTTTTCCACAAAGCACCAGTTGATAGCCTCCCATTTTAATTCATCTCTAATTTTGTGTGTTGCTACATGGTTCTTCTGGAGACATCCTAAACATTCAGATTACCTACTTGCCTGTAAATATATATGTTGCTGTCTGTGCTATGTTAGGTTTGGTTTCAAGTTGCTATTTTTATGCCAGTGAGAGATAAATGTGTGTATACTAAATATAATCAAATGCAAATTTCTTTTTCACGATTATTACTGAAGCTGTTGTCCTCTTATTAAAAACCAAACAGAGGGGGTAAAGCAATGCTGAACATATCCTTTCCTCCTCTATGATTCAAACTCTTAGTCACTTTCCCTCTGAGAGGCTAATAAAAGTTTAAATGTTGATTAAGGTATAATGTAGTGTAATGCGATTAAGATACCATAACGTCATTTCATTTTTAAGACTGAATTCTAACCTCTGACTGCATTTCTGCTGGCCAGCTGCTGGCAGTAAAGACCTTCCATGCATCAACAGACTGTCAGAGATTTTCATAATTAGGTGGGTATTCCATCCAAATATTTCTAATTCAACTAAAACTGCACCATATTGAAAACGCGAATGATACCTACCATGTAATGTAGCTGTTTTAGCGCACACAAGGCTTTATACTGATCTGAGACTCCTGAAAAATCTGGTGTTGCTGCAGCTTCATGTTTCCTTGCCAGCAGCAAGATTTTTTTTTAAGATAAAGCAGCATCCCTGTAGCTGGCTCTCTCATTCTCAGCAGGTTATTTTTGTGGTTGTGGCTGTGTGGATCTAGTTACGTGCTTTGTTCTACAATGATAGCCTGTGTCTCACAAGCACGTCTAGATTTTTGAGTGAAAATCCACATTGCAGTGAATACAGTTGGTAGCAGCATTAGAGGGTGGTGTAGGATTTTTTTCCCCTTAATGATCATAGGAGGTTTTCTATAGGAAAAAACATTGTGAAATACATCACGGAAACAAATTATTACAGTTAAATGTGGAACTGAGAGACAACCTTGCTCATTGCATCTCATAGGCCCTCTGGATCTTTAAGTGGCACCATTTTTGTTGCACACAGAGCTAGAGGGTAAGCTTCTCTTTCTCCAAAAAACTGCACTGCTAATCCCAAGAAGATGGTTTTGTAAATGGGATTCCACCTTTCTCACCCCTTCCCTGCCCTGCTCTGGCATGGCAAGTTTTGCTTTTATCCAGGGATGCCAGTCATTGCCACAGCCTTACAAATGAAGTGGTCCTCTGAACTGCTCCTAAGGCTGAAAATGAGCGATTCCTTGGAACAGCACTTCCAGATGGAAGTTGCTGGTATCCAGCATGTAGCTTTTTGTTTTTTTCTCCTTTGTCTGTGTGGATTCTTGAAATCCTTTCTCTTGGTCTGCTGATGTCTCACATCCTTGCTGTCTGTATAAATGGGAGAAAATATTCATTTTCATTA